CTACTTGGGAGGCTGAGGCAGGAGACTCGCTTGAGCCCAGGAGTTGGAGGTTGCTGTGAGCTGTGATGCCATAGCACTCTACCCAGGGCGATAGCTTGAAGCTCCGTCTCAAAAAAAAAAAAAAATTGTCTGAAACTAGTGGAGGTGGCTGCATACTCTGGATATACTAAAACCCATAAAATTGTATGGAAAATAAAAGAAAGAAAAAATAGGGTGGGACCCAGGGATGTGCTTTTAAAGCAAATGCCCCAGCTGGTCTTACTAGCACTTAGCATGGTTAGGAAGAACAGAGCTTTCAGTGGGATTAGGGAAACAGAGCAGGAAAGAGATTAAATACAGCCTCCCATCCCATCCCACTTTCACAATAACGTTGATCAGTTTGTGGCCAGTACTGCTGTTCACACCTGGACACCAAGATATCCCCAGGGAAACATCAGAGCAAGGCAAAGGTATGAGAAAGGTACTGCTCACAACCCTGTGAGGTAGGTCTGAGTATCCCCATTGAACAGTTAAGTAAATCGAGGACTGGAAATGTGGACGCTAAGAGTGACTGGCCTGAGGTCAGTAGCTAGTGAGGGACACAACAGAGATGCAAACATGATTTGCAGGGACCCAAGCCTTTGCTCTAAACCACTGTACTGAAGTGCCCACTACTTATACTTATTCTGACTACAAGCCCCAAAGTCCCAGTGTGAGAAAGACTGTGGTGAAAGTGCCTTGTGAAGTCCCAGCGAGGCGTACTGCTGGGCCGGCGGGCCAGGACTGCACCTCTGTGTTTGTCTTCTGTATGCGCCCTGGGTGTTTTCAACAGAAAGTCTGCTAAAATGGACGGAGAAAGAGATTTTAGTCGTTGAAGATACTCAGAAGCACACGGCTATCTTCTTCCAAAGCAAGTTCGTTATTGTCTAACAACCAATCAATATTTTCAGTGAGGCCTAGCACGAGACCAGGTACAGATACAAAAGCACAGAACACGGGCTGGGCGCCCATAGCTCAGTGGTTGGGGCGCCAACCACATGCTCCAGAGCTGGTGGGTTCAAACCCAGCCAGAGTCTGCTAAACAAAAAAATAGCCAGGCGTTGTGGTGGGCGCCTGTAGTTCCAGCTACTTGGGAGGGTGAGGCAAGAGAATTGCTTAAGCCCAAGAGTTGGAGGTTGCTGTGAGCTGTGATGCGACAGCACTCTACCAAGGGTCACACAGTGAGACTCTGTCTCAAAAAAAAAACAAGCATAAGACACAGTCTCTGCCCATTCTCGGTGTATAATCTAAATAGTTCTCAGAAATTGCTCCATGGTCAAAAAGGAAATCTGGACTCCGCTGCCAGTACTGCAAAGAACATTCTTTAAAGTCCAACATTTAAAAAAAACATACTATTACACTCCACATTTACTATGGTATGATTTTTTTCCTCATAAATTCAACTGCATTGTCAATAAACAAGATTTACTTTTATTAAAATTCACCTTGAATAAAAATCCTTTGAAAAAGGAATTTTAGAAGGTTAACTACAAGTGCTTAGGTACAAATATGGCCAATAGTTGTCTGGGCAAAGGAGCTCTGGACTACTGAGTGAACCTAGCTCATGTTGGGGTCACTTTTATTAATATTTGGAGGATAACATAAGGCAAGTTTCCAAATAGTTAATAAGGTATTATTGCTGCCCAAAAGACAAGTGATGCCATGGAGAGTGATCTAGACAAAGAGATATTTTTCATAGCAAAATTTAGCACCCACTTGGAGGCAATTCTAGGGGTGGCCAGGAGTTTCATCCCTCAAATTAACTTTTTGCTTTTTTAAATTTTGAGACAGAGTTTCACTCTTTACCTCTGGATGGTGTGCCATAGCATCCTAGCTCACAGCAACCTCAAACTCTTGGGCTCGAGAGATCCTCCTGCCTCAGCCTCCCAAGTACCTAGGACTGACTACAGGCACCTACCACAACACCCACCTAATTTTTCTATCTTTAGTAGAGACAGGGTCTTGCTATTGCTCAGGCTGGTCTCAAACTCCTGAGTTCAAAGAATCAGCCCATCTTGGCCTCCCAAGAGTGCTAGGATGACAGGCATAATCCACCATGCCCAGTCTAAAATTAATCTCTTAATTCTCTCACAAACTCTCAGAACTCAGGAGTATGTGATTCTGGGAATAGAAACTAGCTCAAACCTTCAGATGGACTAAGATAACTATACCTGGGGATGACTCCATCCCAGGAGCAAGCCTCCTGCCTCACAGGTGGAACATTCAGCATGGCGGGAGGGAGAGATATGGGAGCCTGAGACCTCAGATGGTGATGTCAGAACACACACTCCACCCTTGGGTGGTCTGTGGGGCTCTAGGAAAGAGCCTCACAGCCTCATGCTGAGTTAGTATCTCCCAAAGTCTCATTTGTCAAGTCAGGAACTAGTATAAGGAAAAGATTGGATATTTTTCCGGTGTTATGAAGTCTTGATACTCTAATGAAAAAGATCACTGATTTCTTTAAATAAAGTATGTTAAATCAAGAAGTCTGGGCTAAATAAGGGAAAATTCCAATCTGAACCTCTTCGCACTTGCAGGAAGCGAGTGCCTTTTCTTTCTTGAAGATCCTTTGCTTTAAAGCACTGAAAAGTGAACTTCTAGCTCTGACAGTGATAGAAAACAACAATAATTCCTTCCTTTTTGTAGAAGAACACCAAAAACTAATAGGACTCCAGGTAAGTAGAGGCACCAGAACCAGAACTTACAGCAACTGAACCCAGTCTCATCTCCCTCTCTCCACTGTGAAGTCCATTAACCTTTTTCTTTTTCTTTTAATTTTGAGACAGAGTTTTACCCTTTAGCTCTGTGCACCAGTAAGCCCTCTGGGGTCCTCCATTAACTGGAAAAAGAACCATCAAAGCTATTAAAATGGAAGGTAGCATTCTTTTTAAAATTTTTTCAGGTTAATAATGGGAGTATAGACAATTAGGTTACATTGTTTCTATTTGTTAGGTAAAGTCCAATTTGAATTGTGCCCCTCCCCAAGGAGGCGTGCCATACACCCTTACATTGTGCCTGTTAGGTGAGAGGATATCTCTCTCTATCCCCTCCTCCCTTCCCCACCTGAGTTTAATTGTGCTTTTCTTTTGTATGGGCATGTATTTGTTCATATACTGGTTTCATATTAGAATTGGGTACACTGGACACTTGTTTTTCCATTCTTGTGATGGAAGGTAGCATTCTAATATTAGTTTTCTTAAAGTAAAATAATGATTTTCTTCTTCTTCTTCTTCTTTTTGTTTGTTTGTTTGTTTGTTTGTTCTCTTTGTTTGTTTGTTTGAAATAGAATTTCACTTTGTCGCCCTCAGAAAAGTGTTATGGCATCATAGCTCACAGCAACCTCAAAGTCTTGGGCTCAGGCAATCCTCTTGCTTCAGCTTCCTGAATAGCTGGGACTGCAGGCACCCCACCACTATGCCCATCTATTTTTAGAGATGGGGTTTCACTCTTGCTCTGGCTGGTTGCGAACCTGTGAGCTCAGGCAATTCACCCGCCTCAGCCTCCGAGACTGCTAGGATTACAAGTGTGATCCAACGCGCCCGGCCAAGATATAATAATGTTTTCTTACAGAGTAGATAAGGCACAGCATGAGAGAGCTCCCTCCCTCCCGGGCCCCAGCCACACAGCACACACGACTCTTTGCTTGCGCATGTGCACTGGAGAAGAGGCCAGATGATTTTCCCACAATGCACAGGGAATGGATTGCTTCTGATCACTTCTGATCACTTCTGGTTTGCAAGCTGGTTGGAGAACCAGTCCAGGCCTTCGTAAAGCCCATCTCCGCTGATGGCACATGTAGCCTGAATGTGCCAGTTTCTGTAGTGGAAGGAATGGAGGCCCATCTTGTCTGTTATCTCTGCTACCTTCATAGCATTGGGAAGATCCTTGAAAGAGAACATTCAAAGTCAATTTGTAATGTTGTGTCCATGTAATAAAACATGCTCCTGCCCCTAAATATGCCCTAACCCATGATCTTCTCTATCTCAGTAGATGACAACTCCAGCCTTCTAGTTGCTCAGGCCAAAATGCTTGAAATCATTTTTTTTCTCAATGTCACAGCCAATCTGTCAAAAGTCCTAACACTCTACCATCATAATATATTTAGAATCTGACCACTTCCCACCTCCATGATGTCACCTGATCCAACCCTCATTGCATCTCACCTGGATGATTGAAATAACTTCCTAATTGGTCTTCCTGCTTCTCCTCTTACTCCTTAGAGCCTGTTCTCAACCGGGCAGTCAGTGAAAGTCAGATCTAATCACTCTCCCATCAAAACACAATAGCTCCCTCCCTCCTTGGGTAAGAGCCAGAGTCCTTCCTGCGGTCTCCAAGGCTTTCAGGACCTGAGATCTTTCCTAATAGGTCTGCTCTATGTTTTAACTGGCATTCACCATATGTTACTATATCATAAAATTTACTTATTTAGTATGTTTCTTATTCACCATCTGCCTCCCCTAACAGGAATTCCAGCTTTGCAAGGGCAGGAATCTCTGTCTATCTTGTTTTCCAGTGTATCCCAAGTGCCTACACATGTGCCTGTCACAGAATCAGCTCAAACTAAATTTGACTAAATGAGCATTAAAGAACAAAGTAGACAGAGATGTACTGATATGGAAGAACTTCAGAGATATGCTCAGATAAGGTCACAAAACGGAATGCACACTATGGTCTCTGGAATTTAAACAGGAAAACAATCAGGCCAGGCGCAGTGGCTCATGCCCGTAATCCTAGGACTTTGGGAGGCCGAGGTGGGTAGATTGCTTGAGCTTAGGAGTTCTAGACCAGCCTGGGTAAGAGAAAGATACCATATTTACTAAAAATAGAAAAAACTAGCTAGGAGCGGTGACAAGAGTCTATAGTCCCAGGTACTTTGGAGACTGAGCCTAGAGGATCATGCTTGAGCCCAAGAGTTGGAGGTTGCTGTGAGCTATGATGCCCCAGCACTCTAGCCTGGGCAACAGAATGAGACTCTGTCTTAATCAATCATCAATCAATAGGAATACAATAGGAATACAATCAATAGGAATTCAATAGGAATACACATAATTGCTTATCAAGGCACAGAAAGTTGTACTTCTAGAAGAGATATACAAAATTTAACAATGAAGAGTTCTGATTTTTATAATTAAAAACAATGGGCCCAGGTATGATGGCTCACACCTATAATCCCAGTACTCTGGGAGGCAAGAGGTTTGCCTGAGGTCAAAATTTCAACATCAACCCAGGCAAAATAGCCAAGACCCAATCTCAGTCTATCTACAAAATTCGTTTTAAGGGCAGCGCCTGTGGCTCAAAGGAGTAAGGCACCAGCCCCATATGCCAGAGGTGATGGGTTCAAACCCAGCTCCAGCCAAAAACTGCAAAAAACAAACAAACAAACAAAATCTTTTTAAAAATTATCCAGGTGTCAGGCCGGATGCGGTGGTACATGCCTGTAATCCTAGCACTCTGGGAGGCGAAGGCGGGTAGAGAGCTTGAACTCAGGAGTTTTAAGAGCAGCCTGAACAAAAGTGAGACCCTGTCTCTACTAAAAATAGAAAAACTGAGGCAAGAGGATTGTTTGAGCCCAAGAGTTGGAGGTTGCTGTGAGCTATGATGCCAGGGCATTCTACCCTGGGTGACAGCAGGAGACTCTGTCTCAAAAAAAAAAAATTAGCCAGGTGTCATGGCAGGTGCCTGTGAGTCTAGCTACTTGGGAAGTAAAGACAGGAGGATCACTGGAGCCCTGGAGTGTGAGGCTGCAGTGAGCAACAACTGGGCCACTACTTTCCAGCCTGAGTGACAAAAGAGACCATATCTCAAAAAGAATCCAACCAAACAAAAAACTAGCACCCCCAGATTTCATTATTTTCTTTTTTTATAGTCATTACATTCAGTAGTGAAAACTTGGGACTGACATCAACCTGAACAGGAAAGTAATAGTTGAATGAATTGTGATCCATCTACCATTTAAAATAATCTTTACAAAGAATTGGATAACAAGAGGAATCGTGTTTGGTAAATCAGAAGTGACAAAACAGGATGCGACACTGTCAAAACAGTAGGACTGTAATTATATAACCAATGCGCTCGTGGTGCATCGCCACGGGTACCATTTCATATGATTCTACCTCCTTTTTCATGCTAGCTCAGCTTAGACTCATGAGGCTGGGTAGCCCTAAACAGCCCTCCTCCTGTGCCCTTTTTACTGCTTTACATTTACGTAGAAGCCCTTTTTCCTCCTCCTCACAATAAGCCCTGCACAATCTAATCTCTTCTCCCTTTCTCCTCTGCTCATTCTCTTCCAGCTGCACTGGCTGCCTTGCTGTTCCTAGAACTGCATGGCGGTCTTCTTCCTGGGCTTGTGGTCTCTGGATCAGACATCATGTTGTCAGAGAGTCATTCCTCACCCTTCCCCAACCTGTCTTGCCCCCTCATTGCCCTTTAACTTCCTCCATGATCCATGATAGCTACACTCAACATATAACGTATTCTTTTTTTTTTTAGATAGAGTCTCACTATATTGCCCTTGGTAGAGTGCTGTGTTGTCTAACCTCTAACTCTTGGGCTTAAGAAATTCTTTTGCCTCAGCCTTCCAAGTAGGCACCTGCCACAACGTCCGGCTACTTTTTTGTTGTTGTTGCAGCTGTCATTGTTGTTTGGCAGGCCTGGGCTGGGTTTGAACCTGTCTGCCTCGGGCAGTATGTGGCTGGCCCCTTAACCGCTGAGCCACAGGCACAAAGCCACACATTATGTATTCTTTATTGACTGACTCTCCTTCCACTAGCACATCAACTCCACGAATGCAAGGATTTGTGTCTGTCTTGTTCACTGCTTCATAACTGAACACCTAAAACCAGGCCTGGAACGTAGTAAATGCACAATTAGCATTTATTGAGTAAATAAATGAAAGCATTCTAAAAAGAAGATAGTGGTGCCTGGGTGCCTGTAGCGGGTTCGAATCCAGCCTGGGCCTGCCAAACAACAATGACAACTATAACCAAAAAATAGCCGGGCATTGTGGCGGGCACCTGTAGTCCCAGCTACTTGGGAGGCTGAGGCAAGAGGATCGCTTAAGCCCAAGAGTTTGAGGTTGCTGTAAGCAGTGACGCCATGGCACTCTACCCAGGGCGACAGATTGAAACTCTGTCCCAAATAAATAAAATAAAAAGGAGATAGTGGGAGAGGTTACGATTAGGTAATTAGGTAATTAGGTAATAAAGAAGCAAGCATTTCATTTAAATAACTATATTTTTAAGTGAGACATCTGGCAGTAAATTATAGTTCCAGGATTCAGAAAGCCAACAAGAATATACCTGTTTATTTGCAAGCACCAACCAAACTGCATCTCTGAGCTCATCTTCCACTAACAATCTGAGGAGTTCTTCCTGGGCCTCACCAACCCGCTCTCTGTCACTACTGTCAACCACAAAAATCACACCTGGAAAGAAATCACAAGCATGTCAGTCATCTGATCCTGGAAAGAGAGCAGCTGTTTACGTATCTTTATAGCTTCTCTCTGCCTATGTGTGTGATTTCCCTGAATACAATCAATATAAAAGGATGTATGATAATCTCAAGAGTTAGGAAGACACATTTGGCAGTAGTCCATGTGATGATGATGATAATGACAACTTGGTGCTTATCTGCCAATAAGCCCTTTGAGACAAAAAAGGTGGAGCAGCTGCCCAAAGAACTAATTTGATCGTAGGCTGTATCACTAGTAGTGATAGGAGCTCAATTTCTAGGACATGGATAATAACAGGCTTACCCTACTGTATATCAGTCTGAACATTCAGGGAATACAGATATACATGGGCAAACTGGAGAGATTCAAAAAATGACAGGAGTAGGCCAGGTGCAGCGGCTCACGCCTGTAGTCCTAGCACTCTGGGAGGACGAGGCCGGTAGATTGTTTGAGCTCAGGAATTTAAGACCAGCCTGAGCAAGAACGAGACCTCGTCTCTAAAAAATAGCTGGGTGTTGTGGTGGGTGCCTGTGGTCCCAGCTACTCGGGAGGCTGAGGCAAGAGAATCACTTGAGCCCAAGAGTTTGAGGTTGCTGTGAGCTGTGAGGTTGAGCAGAGTTTTGAAACTCTGTCTCAAAAATGGAGGTGGGGCAGGACACATACATATATGGCTGTTTGTATATGCATAAAATGTCTGGACAGGCACAAAAGATAAAAGCAGTTGTCTATGGAAGGGAACTGAACGGTTAAGGGACAGGAAAGAATGGTAACTTTTCACTCTTGGCCCCCCATCTGTATGGTTTCTACATCCATGGATTCAACTAACCACAGACCAAAATTATAAGGAAAAATAAACTATACTGAACATGTACAGACTTTTCTCTTGGCAGTATTTCCTAAACAATACAGTGTAATAACCATAGCATTGACAATGTATTAGGTATTACCAGTAATCCAGAGATAATTTAAAGTGTCCAGGAGAATGTGCATAAGTTATATGCAAATACTACCCTGGTTTATCTAAGGGACTTGAATATCCTCGGATTTTGGTATCCTTGGGAGTCCTGGAACCAATCCCCCTTAGATACCAAGGGAGGACTATATTTTGAACCCTATAGATATAGTGCCATTCAACAAATTAAAACAACCAAACCTAAAATCAAGGAGAAAAATCTTTCCACATAATAACTCTGGACCATTTTATGCATTCTATATACTACATATAAATATCAGTTAAGAAATCACATAAACAGTTCACATTTCAGTTTATATAAGTGAAACACACACAGTCAAATGTCTTATTAGAAAGCTAAAAGCATCTGTTAAGTTCTGTCATACTCAACGTACTAATGAAGAAAATTTCAACTAAAAGACACCATTATCATTAGACACTGGCAGAAAAAGAGGGTGACAGCACCCAAGATCACTCGTGGATGAAACATTTGTCCTAGTCACAGATAGCAAATCCATTCTTCAAGGAGCTCCCAATTGCTATTTCATGAAAAGTCCAAATTACCCACCCAAGGTGATAGAATATAGCCAGCTCCCTGCCATCAAAGTGATAGTTTTTGAAATGCAGTAAAATTAGACTTATTATAAAAAGAAGATTGAAGAACAAAATGCACTTCAACTTGGCATCTGAATGTGAAAACTCTTAGTAGAGTGTATCTGCCAGAAAATGATGAAGTGAAACCTCAAACAATTTGAGTTTCTGAGTGCCTGCTACCTTCCAGCCATAAAACTAAGTGTTTCAGAGAATTAATCTCATTTAAGTCCAGTGATGGAGACAGTAGGTATTATCTCCATTTTAAGATGAGGAAATTAAGACAGAAGAGATTACTTAATTTTCACAAGGTTTTCATAGCTGAGCTGTGGTTCAAGCCCATTTAATTTTATTACAGATGAGAAACTGCAATGGTTTGGCCAAGTTGTCTACTGCCAATCCAAGACAGTGGACACTGTATCAAAGGAGAAATGTTATCTGCAATAGACTGAAATACAAAGATATAAAAATCCAAGTGTCAGGGCTGTGCCCACAGCTCAGTGGGTAGGGTGCTGGCCACATACACCAAGGCTGGTGGATTCAAACCCGGCCCAGGCCAGCTAAAAAACAACAATGACAATGACAACAACACTCTTTCAGATCAGGGGTTCTCAACCTGTGGGTCGCGACCCACAGGAACTGTATTAAAGGGCCACGGCATTAGGAAGGTTGAGAACCACTGCTTTCAGATGGATATTGAACCCTGGGTCATCTCAACTCAAACAGAGCTTCTCCAAGACACATTGTAATGAATCTCTCCAAAGTCAAGATGAAAGAAAAAATTCTGCAAGCAGCCAGGAGTAAGTGGCAATTGACCTACAGAGGCAGAGCCAGTACGATAACAGCAGACTTTTCAACTGAAACTTTCCAGCCAGAAAAGCATGGTCATCATGGTCATCCACCTTCAACATTCTTAAAAAAACAATTTTCAGCCCAGAATTCTACATCCTGCTAAACTAAGCTTCAGAGTTTCAGTGATGGAGAAATCAAATCTTTTGCAGATGTACAAACACTGAGGAAATTTGCCTCAATAAGACCAGCTCTACATGAAATACACAGACCTATTCTCAACACGGACCATCACAATGGACCACCAGCAAAGTAAATACCCAGAAGCTAAAGGTCAAAACTTCGCTTCCACAATGGCACAAAGGATAAAACTACACAACAGGCTTTCACAAGATAAGATGACTAGAATTCCACCACATTTATCAATTCTCTCAATAAATGTCAATGGATTGAATTCACCACTGTAGAGGCACAGGCTGGCTGACTGGATAAAAAAGCACAAGCCGGCTCAGTGCCTATAGCTTAGTGGCTAGGGCGTTGGCCACATACACTGGGGCTGGTGGATTCAAACGCAGCCCAAGCCAGCCAAACAACAGTGACAACTACAACAAAAAAATTGCTGGGCGTTGTGGTGGGCGTCTGTAGTCCCAGCTACTTGGGAGGCTGAGACTAGAGAATTGCTTAAGCCCAAGAGCTGGAGGTTGCTGTGAAGCTGTGACACCACAGCACTCTACCAAAGGTGACATAGTGAGATTCTGTTTAAAAAAAAAAAATAAGACACAAGCCATCCACACGCTATCTCCAGGACACCTAGCCTTGACTGACAAATCAAGACTCAGAGTTTAGGGATGGAAAACAGTATTTCAAGTAAATGGAAATCAGAAGAAAGGAGGGGCTGCAATCTTATTCTCAGATACAAATGGATTTGAAGCAACTGAAGAAAGACAAAGATGGACACTTTATAATGGTCAAAGGAATGATACAACAAGAAGACATTTCAATTTGAAATATTTATACATGCAACTTAAATGTTCTCAGATTTATGAAACAGATCTTGATGGGTCTGAGCAATATGATATCCCATAACACCACAATAGCCGGTGACTTTAACACCTTTCTCACAGAACTAGATAGGTCCTCTAAACAGGAACTAAACTAAGATACAAAGGACTTAAACGTGACCCTAGAACAAATGCGATTAATAGACATGTACAGAACACACCATCCCAAAGCTAAAGAATGTATATTTTTCTCATTAGACCACACCCTAGGATACAAATCAAACCTAAGAACAATTAAAAGAATAGAATTTATACCTTGTATCTTCTTAGACCGCAAGACAATAAAGGTAGAACTCAACTCCAACAAAAACATTCATCCCCACAAAGACTTGGAAATTAAGCAACCTTATGCTGAATGATAGCTGGGTTCAGGAAGAGATAAAATAGGTAATCGTGAAATTCCTCAAACATAATAACAATAAAGACACAAGTTACCAAAACATGTGGGATACAGTAAAAGGAGTCTTAAGAGGGAAATTCATCACATTAGATGCCTACATTTGAAAAACAGAAAGAGAGTGCATCAACAAACTCACGAACCATCTTATGGAATTGGAAAAAGAAGAAAAATTTAATCCCAAACCCGGCAGAAGAAAAGAAATAACCAAAATTAAATCAGAGATTAATGAAATTGAAAACAAAAGAATCATTCAGAAAATTAATGAAACAAAAAGTTGTTTTTTTTAAAAAAATAAATATAATCGACAAACCTTTGGCCAGATTAACTAGAAACAGAAAAGTAAAATCTCTAAGAATCTCAATCGGAAATGATAAAGGGAAATAACAACAGATGCCACAGAGATACAGGAGATCATTTATGAGAACTAGGGGAAACTCTATGCCCACAAATTTGACAATGTGGAGGAAATGGATTAATACCTGGAATCACGCCCTCTCCCTAGATTTAACCAAGAAGAAATAGATCTCTTGAACAGACCAATTCCAAGAATTGAGATTGAAGAAATAATAAAAAATCTCCCAGCAAAAAACTGCCCCGGTCCAGATGGCTTCATACCAGAATTCTATCAAACCTTCAAAGAAGAGCTTATATCCACACTGTACAAATTATTCCAAAAAATTGAGAAGGAAGAATCTTCCCCCAACACATTCTATGAAGCAAACATCACCCTGGTACCAAAACCAGGAAAAGACCCAACTAAAAAGGAGAACTTTCAGACCAATTTCACTAACAAATATAGATGCAAAAATTCTCCATAAAATCCTAGCCAATAGATTATAGCTACAAATTTTAAAAAATCATTCATCATGATCAAGTAGGTTTCATCCCAGGGATGCAAGGCTGGTTTAACATACGCAAGTCCATAAATGTTATTCACTGCATCAACAGAAGCAAAAACAAAGACCGTATGATCCCCTAAATAGATGCAGAAAAAGCATTCGATAAAATTCAGCATCCTTTTCTAGTTAGAACACTTAAGAATATATGCATCGATGGCACATTTCTGAATCTGATAGAAGCCATCTACAACAAACCCACAGCTAATTGTTATACTGAATGGAGTAAAACTGAAAGCTTTTCCACTTAGAACTCAAACCAGACAAGGTTGTCCTCTATTGCCACTACTATTCACTATAGTGCTGGAAGTTCTAGCCAATACAATCAGGCAGGAGAAGGAAATAAAGGGCACTCAAATGGGGGCCGAGGAGGTCACACTCTCTTTCGTTGCCGACAACATGATCTTATACTCAGAGAACCCTAAAAACTCAACCACAAGACTCCTGGAAGTGATCAAAAAATACAGTAAAGTCTCAGGATCAATGTCCATAAATCAGTAGACTTTGTATATGCCAATAATAGCTAAGATGAGACGCTAATCAAAGACATAATTCCCTTACAGAAGAAATACCTAGGCATATACCTAACAAAAGAGGTATAGGACTTCTACAAAGAAAATTGTGAAACCCTAAGAAAAGAGAAAAACAGAAGATCTTAACAAATGGAAGAACATATCATGCTCATAGCTGGGAAGAATAAACATTGTCAAAATGTCTATACTTCCCAAAGCAATCTACAGATTCAATGCAATCCCCATTAAAATACCATCATCATACTTTCAAGATTTGGAGAAAATAATTCTTCATTGTATATGGAAACAGAAGAAACCCCATATAGCCAAGGTTATTGTTAGTCATAAACACAAAGCTGACTTTCTATAAGACCATTGTGATCAAAACAGCATGCTATTGGCCCCAAAATAGAAACACTGACATTGGAACAGAATAGAAAACCATGAGATGAAACTAACACCTTACACCCACCTGATTTTTTCTTTTTTCTTTCTTTCTTTCTTTTTTTTTTTTGAAACAGAGTTTCAACCTCAAACTCTTGGGCTTAAGGAATTCTCTTGCCTCAGCCTCCCAAGGAGCTAGGACTACAATGCCCAGCTATTTTTTTGTTGTTGTTGCAGTTGTCATTGTTGCCCTAGCTGGCCAGGGCTGGGTTCAAATGTGCCAACCTGGTATATGTAGCCAGTGGCCTATCCACTGAGCCGTGAGCGCTGCCAGCCACCTGATTTTTGATCATCCAAACAAGAATATGCACTGGGGAAAAGAATCCCTATTCAATAAATGGTGCTGGGAGAACTGGATAAGCACAGGTAACAGATTGAAACTAGACCCCCACCTCTCAACACTTACAAAAATTGATTCAAGATGGATAAGATTTAAATCTAAGGCATGAAGCAATAAAAATCCTCAAAGAATGTGTGGGAAAAACACTTGAAGATATCAGCCTGGGGAAAGATTTTAGAAGACTTCCATGACAATTGCAACAACAATAATAATAAACAAATGGGACTTAAACCGAAAAGCTGCTGTACAACTAAGGAGACAACAACCAAAGCAAATAGACAGCCTTCAGAATGGAAAAAGATATTTGCTTTTGCCCGCAAACAGATCCTACTTTTTGGTAAGTAGGATCTACAGAGAATTTAAATTAATCAACAACAAAAAAAAGACCCAACAACCTCATATATCACTGGGCAAGTGACATGAAGAGCACCTTCTCTAAAAAAGACAGATTAATGGCTAACAAACATAAAAAACATGCTCATCATCCCTAATCATCACAGAAATGCAAATCAAAACTACCCTGAGATATCACCTAGCCCCAGTGGGAATAGCTCACATCACAAAGTCTCAGCTGCAGATGCTGACATGGATGGGGAGAGAAGGGAACACTTTATACTGCTGGTGGAACTGCAAACTAATGTAACCTTTTTGGAAGAAGTATGGAGAATCTCAAAGAACTCAAATTAGATCTCTCATTTGATCCTGCAATCCCATTACTGGGCATCTACCCAGAAGAAAAAAAAATCCTTTTATCATATGGACATTTGCACTAGACTGTTAGTTGAAGCTCAATTTACAATCTCCAAAATGTGGAAACAGCCTAAATGCCTAATGCCTTAATCCAGAAATGGATTAAGAAGCGGTGGTATATGTACACTAGGAAATACTATTCTGCCATTAAAAAAGATGGAGACTTGGGCAGCGTCTGTAACTCAGTGAGTAGGGCGCCGGCCCCATATACTGAGGGTGGCGGGTTCAACCCCAGCCCTGGCTAAACTGTGAGAAAAAATTAGCTGGGCATTCTGGTGGTGCCTGTAGTCCCAGCTATGTGGGAGGCTGAGGCAAGAGAATGGCTTAAGCCCTCGAGTTGGAGATTGCTGTGAGCTGTGACATCACAGCACTCTACCAAGGGTAATAAAGTGAGACTCTGTCTCAAAAAAAAAAAAAATAGATGGAGACTTTATATCTTTTGTATTAACCTGGATGAAGGTGGAACACATTCTTCTTAGTAAAGGATCACAAGAATGGAGAAGCAAGAATCCAGTGTACTCAATTCTAATATGAAGGCAGTAGATGAGCTAATACAAAGTGGGGGTAAGGTGGCCTGGCACCTCTAGCTCAGGGAGTAGGGTGCCAGCCACATACACTAAGGCCAGTGGGTTTGAGCCCAGCCCAGCCCAGCCCATTGCTGTTTGAACAATGACCACTGCAACAAAAAATACCGGGCATTGTGGTGGCCACCTGTAGTCCTAGCTAGTGGGGAGGCTGAGACAAGAGAATCGCTTAAGCCTAAGAGATTGAGGTTGCTGTGAGCTGTGATGCCATGGCACTCTACTGAGGGTGACATAGTGACACACTGTCTTTAAAAAAAAAAAAAAATGGGAGTAAGGGAATGAGGGAGTGAGGAGAGGGAAAGAAGGAGGGGGTGTATGGCACACCTCTTAGGGGCAGGGTACAATTATAAGAGGGACTTTATCTAACAAATGCAATCAGTGTAACCTAATTCTTTGTACCCTCAATGAATCCCAAACAATTAAAAAAAAAAGCATCGGCTCGGCGCCTGTGGCTCAAGTGGCTAGGTGCCAGCCACATACACCAGAGCTGGCAGGTCTGAATCCAGCCGGGGCCTGCCAAAAAACAATGACAACTGCAACAACAACAAAAATAGCCAGATGTTATGGTAGGTGCCTGTAGTCCTAGCTACTTGTGAGGCTGAGGCAAGAGAATTGCTTAAGCCCAGGAGTTAGTAGTTGCTGTGAGCTATGATGCCACAACACTCTACCCAGGGCCATAGCTTTTTTTCAAAAAAAAAAAACGGCCAGGATTTGGTATTCCACCTATCCCTGTTTGTCTCTTTCTCTCCAGAGGCATAATTTTTAGACATTCTCAACATGTTTAAAAGAATTAACTGAATTCAAATTCTTCCAAAACTAGTATTTCATCTAAGGCACATACACCTCTAAATAAACTGAAAGGACAGCCATTTTCTAACCATTCTGGACTAAGGGAAGTTTCCTATGGAGAGCATTAAAGTCCAAATACTCTAGAAACACAGAGACCACTTCTTTTTTTTGTAATGAGACAGAGCCTTAAGCTGCCCTGGGTAGAGAGCTGTGGTATCACAGGTCACAGCAACCTCCAACTTTTGGACTCAAGTGATTCTCCTGCTTCCGCCTCCCAAGTAGCTGGGACTACAGGCACCCACCACAAGGCCCGGATATTTTTTAGTTGCAGATGTCACTGTTGTTTGGTGGGCCCGGGCTGGATTTAAACCTGCAAGCTCAGGTGTATGTGGCTGGTGCCTTAGCTGCTTGAGCCACAGGCGCCGAGCCGAGACCATTTCTTGAAAAGAAACCTTCCTTAACAAGGGTTAGGAGGCCATTAGAAGAGAGGTAATGACAGATAGGCCAAATAAAATAGAATATTACAGGGAATTGCTTTAAGCATCCATCTTCATTTTTAATTTATGTTTTATTTTCACTTTTCTGAGGCAAGGTCTTGAAAGGACAGCGTTTCTAATAAACTATCTACAGAGAAAAAATAAACTAAGAGAAAGATTTTTAAAAAGACAAATCACAGCACGCAACTATCCTTTGCTTAACCACCTGTGGCTTAACTTGTTCTCTTTAAAAGTTCATTGTGCCTCAGCCAAACTGCAACAAAAAAATAGCCAGGTGTTGTAGGGGGCGCCTGTAGTCCCAGCTACTTGGGAGGCTGAGACGAGAGAATCACCTAAGCCCAGGAGTTGGAGGTTGCTGTGAGCTGTGACACCACAGCACTCTACCGAGGGTTAATAAGAGAAACTCTGTCTCAAAAAAAAAGTTCATTGTACAGCCCCTGAAGAGTTCTAAGCAGACAGCCAGGGTGTGACCCTCCTCCACATCTAAGAAGCCTGATAAAGCCCATCTAGCAGAAGAATAAGAAACAAAAACACATAGCTGCCTCCTGTTATCGTTTTGTAACAATAACCACTCAATCCCTTATCCCAATAAAACAGACCCCCAAACCCCTTCCCCTCCAGACCTGTGTCCTTTCCTTTCTTGAAAAGTAAGAAAAAAATTTTGCTTCAAATCTATCCTAATCTGTGTTTTAAAACTTCTTTTTATTTATTTATTTGAGACAGAGTTTTACTTTGTTGCCCTCGGTAGAGAGCTGTGGCGTCACAGCTCACAGCAACCTCAAACTCTTGGGCTCAAGCAATTCTCTTGCCTCAGCTTCCCGAGTAGATTACAGGTGCCTGCCACAATACCTGGCTATTTTTTGTTGTTGTTGTTGTTGCAGTTGTCATTGGTGTTTTAGCTGGCTGGGGCCAGGTTCAAACCCGCCACCCTTGGTGTACATGGCTGGTGCTTTATCCATTGAGCCACAGGCACCGCCTATACTGAAAATTCTTTCTCAGCCCAGGTTGCAAGTTCTCCTCCAATAGGCCTCCCTTTTGTCGTCCAGGTTAGAGTGCAGTGACATGATCACAGTTCACTGCAAGCTCAAACTCCTGGGCACAAGCAATCTTCCTGCCTCAGCCTCCCAAATAGCTGGGACTACACCTGACTAATTTTTCTATCTTTTTGTAGAGATGAGGTCTCACTCTTGCTCAGGGTGGTCTAGAACTCCTGACCTCATGCAGTCCTTCCACCCCAGTTTCCCAAAGGGCTAGGATTATAGGCATGTGCCACCACCACACCTGGCCCCATCTTTAGATACATTTAATAGAAATGGTGTCAAGGCTATAGACTGGATACAACAATAAATACTTAATCCTTTACCATTTGTGTTCCGGAAATAATGTCGCCACAAAGGTCTTACTCTGTAATGGCTAGCACCATCCCGGACTGTGAGGCTGATACCTTTATACTCTACCGTCTCCACATTGAAACCTAAATGGAAGAAGGAAAAAAACTTAATTGTGATTTTTACTCATTAAACAATTCAAAGTAATTTCAACTAACATTTGGATACTACTTTCAATTTAAAAAGCAACTTGCTAGTCAAAGATCTTTAGCTTATAAAGAGAATGTGCTAACTTACCCTCCCATTCATCTTGGCAGGTATCTCAAACCTGCTCTTCTCTCCAATCTGAGAACTCAGCCACACTTAACTGGTCCTGCCACAGTGGAGTCCCCATGACTCTGGCCTGCCCCACCATTCTCCCCTTTCTACATCCCTCCCTAGGCGATCTCCCTGCTCCTAGGGCTTCATTATCACCTCTGTACTAACAACTGTAAGATTTATATCCTCCAACTCAGACCTCTCCCCTGAGCTTCAGGCTTATACATCATCTAACAACTTTGGTTAGATGTCTCCAAGGCCCCCAACTAAGGCAGTCTATCAAAAACTGAATTTACAGTCTCCACCCCTCTTCACTCTGCTCCTCTGATAGTTATCCCTTCATTGACTCATTCTACAAGCTGAAAACCTGGGAGGCAATCCCAAACACATCCCACTCTCTCACCCCCAAAGTCCCGCTACAAAATCTTATCAAGTCTTCTCTAATTACTTAGTTGGACGTCACTTCAAGTAGTTGGCTTAAGCCAGAGTGAAGAAAAGAAATCACACTGCATCTTTAAACAGGAGTATACTTGGTGTGGAGAGATGAGAAGCTTCTACTAAGGAAGGCTGGCTGGAACAGAGACTGACCAGGAGACAGTCCCAGCTCCCGCCTCAGGCTTCTGCTGGGCCCCTAACTGAGAGGAATGGAGAGCATAACTGGCCTCATTGTTTTAATCATTATTATCTGTTTCTTTTTTGCTAAGGAAATATGGTTAAATTTGCTGAACCTAAATGTGTTCCTATGTCTCTCTTGTGAACCTGGGAATGTACTAGAATGCTGGGAGCAATTAGGAAAGGATATAGAACTTGGTTTTTAGCCTCAAAAAGTTTACGCTCTTAGAGTGGATAAAGATTTTCAAAATGAAATATGCCGTAACACAAGAAGTATGTAAAAATATAACACAATCAACTCTAACCCAGAAGTGTCACAGGCCATGAACATACCTATTGTAGGAATGGCATCTACAGTCTTTCCCAGCTTCAGTTTATACAAGATAGTGGTTTTTCCAACTCCATCCAAACCCAACATAAGAATACACATCTCTTTTTTTCCGAGCAGACTTTTATAAAGCTTTTCAAAAATGTTCCCCATTATAACTGAACTCTATAACGTGAAAAGAAAAGCAAGTCAAATAATTGCTCTTTACAGAGATACAGATGAGACATACATAAAATATGTGTCTGACAGATGACTCCTGGGAAAGTCTAAACAACTTTAAGTACAGCTTGGTCAATGAGTCGTGCATCCTTTTCAAAGGGAAGTGCAACTAAGGTTTGTGATGCCTTGCCAGAAAATTGTATTTTCCACTGTAGCATCCAAGTGGGAAAGGCAGAAGCATAGCTTCAACACAGCCAGCATGGTGGCAGGCTGTAGTCATCTCAGCTGTGGAAGCAATGCCACAACAAACTCATCTATACCTCATGCTAAACTTTCTTGACCTGAGAATTTACAAAGCCATTTCTTGCATGCAATATGAAGCAAAGTCCTTAAGGCAGGTTTAGTTACAATATCCCTTGGAAACTGAGCACTTTCCTTTGGCTAGCAAACAACCCAGAAAAGAACCTAAGAAATTTCAGAGGTGAGGAAATTCAGCTTTGGGAAACTTCACTGCGGAGAGAGGCAAAACTAGGCAAAGAGCTAAGGAGATACCATAGTATCCAGTGTTCCACTGGCGTAACTGTCATTTTGCTCTCAACCAGTTTTTAGAACTTTGGGTATTGTTGTTGTTTGGTTTTTTGAGCTAGAGTCTTACTCTGTCACCCTGGGTAGAGTGCTATGACATCATCATAGCTCACAGCAACCTCAAACTCCTGGGCTCAAGTGATCCTACCACTTCAGTCTCCTGAGCAGCTGGGATTACAGGCACCCGCCACAACACCTGGCTGTTTTTCTATTTTTAGTAGACAGGTCTTACTCTTGCTCAGGCAGGTCTTCAATTCCTGAGCTCAAGCAATCTGCCTGCCTCAGCCTTCTAGAGTGCTAGGTTAACAGGTGCAAGCCACAGAACCTGTCGCAGGGTTTAGAACTTTGGGTTGCATAGCTTACGGCAACTTCAAACTCCTGGGCTCAAGTGATCCTCCTGCCCAGCCTCCCGAGTGGCTGGGACTGTAGACTTGCCCCATACACCTGACTATTTTTTCTATTTTTAGTAGTGATAAGGTCTCAATCTTGCTCAGCCTGGCTTCTTTTTTTTTTAGAGACAGAGTTTCACTTTGTCACCTTTGGTAGAGTGCCGTAGCATCACAGCTCACGGCAACCTCCAGTTCTTGGGCTTATGCAATTCTCTCGCCTCAGCCTCCTGAGTAGCTGGGACTGTAGGAGCCCACCACAACACCCAGCTATTTTTTTGTTGCAGTTTGACCAGGGCATATGGGGCCAGCGCTCTACTCACTGAGCCACAGGTGCAGCCCTCGAGGCTGGTTTCTAACACCAAATCTCAAGCCATCTTTCCTCCTTGGCCTCCCAGAGTGCTAGGATAACAGGCATGAGCCACCTTGCCTGGACTAGTTTTTAGAAATTTTTATTGAAGTATAATTTACAAACAAATATAAACATACATGATAACTGTGAAGTCCAATGAATTTTCATGAACCAAACCCACCTGGGTAATCTGATCAAGAAAAGATGACTAGCAGACCAGATAGATTCTCTTGTCCCCCCTCTTAGTCCTTACTCCCCCAAAGGTAATCGCTATATTGACTTGTAACAACATAAATCTTCAACATTTTATTTTTCAGTAGATAGCATGGTAGATTACATAAAGGAAAGCAATAGTAAAGTCAGGCTAGTTTTACAGAGATTTAGTCACCCTACTTAAAGTGTGAGCTTGACATTCTAATTAAAGGCTTAAAAGTAGTAACATGTCTACACCTGTAACTATACTCTTGGAAGACTACAAAGATTTTCAAAAAGAAAAAGACTACATCCTTATTCCAGAGACTGTGATTTAGTTTCCTTCTAAATTACTGGACAGGGCAGGGAAAGATACAAAATGAATAGCCAAGCTCTCATCTCTCATTCATCCGGACCCTAGTGACCTCAGAAGGAAGGGGATTTAGGAGAAATATACCTTTATCACCACCACCCTCCGCTCCAAAAAAAAAAAAATTATCTGAAAGATCAACTTATAGTTAAGACAGTTTAATAAGCAGAAAAGGCTTATTTACCCTGCACACAGGAAGAATCACAGAATGATTATCCAATATCCCAATAGGATATAGATATTCTTATACCCTCTTTGTAGAAGGGAAAGAAAGATGACTAAGGTAGGTCATTCTGTTCAGGGGCAATAAATGGTTGCTAGAGAGGATGAATAAATAGGGAAAAGATTGACTTGCAAATGATTCTCTTTGCAAATTAAACTAACCTTGAGAGACAGGCATTATATATATATATAATGGCTTGGGCCAGGTCTGGCTTCTTCTTGACTTTTTTCCCCACCTAGAAATATATTGAGATAACAAGGAGGGGAAACGAAGTTCATTTTTGATAGGCCTTACTGGTTATGCAGATAGAGGGAAAGCCTCTTCCAAGGGCCTGTTGATCTCTAAAGGCGTGTAATATAAAATATTCTTTATACCAGAGTCCTATTTTGAGTTGAGATTTCCTGAGTTTCTTCAAAGGTAAGGCCCGCACTGGAGACACGCCCATAATCCTGACCCACACTAGAGGTGAGCCGCAGGCTGGAAGCAGCCCTGACACAAACATCAATCAGGAGAGAACGATTCCAGTCACTTCTTCATTTCAGCTATCCTGACTCCTGGTCAGACACTATGCTTTCCTTTCCTGGCTTTCCCTATCCCTCGAACTAGCCTCCTCTCCTTCTTGCGGACCCTCACCCGGTGTCTCTGCCTGAACCTCGCACAGAAATTCAAGTTTCTCACAGCAGCTTAACAACGCGGACGATGTCTAAGTACACACCATTCCAACCTACAACCAGAGAAAGCGAGCACAGAATTCACCCTACACAACTGCGCAATGGTTTACCAAGGAATAATGAATGCTTTAATCAATTCAAAGAAGGTCCATATAAGTCTATAAAAGTACAGTGCCTTGCAGAACTCAAAATCTTTCTGGGCAACAAAACTAGAGATTCCTTTTCTTCGTTCCCGAAAAGGGACAGATCTTACAGACTAGGAATGCTGCGGGAAGGGAAGTACTTCCTGCCTCGATGCCCCTTGAGACAGGCAGTGCCAGCACACCTCCTGGTTCTCTCTCGCGCTTCTCTTTTCTCTTCTTCCCACTCCTGTGTCCCAGGCGTCCCCCGCCATCCCCCGCGTTTGGAGAACCGCTGGAGGACGACGCCGCCCACCACAGGGCCTCTCTGGCACGCTCACCCTCCTGGCCACAAGCACCAGATGTCCATCAGGGGGAAAAAACAACGAGACTTCATGGGACGCCTCCTCTCAACTTGGCCCCCTCGGGAGAGGAGCCCACCAAGCCTCTCTAGGTTCCCCGCTGCCCCAGCCCCAGAGAGGGCAGACAGGAAATTCCCTGTCCACAGGACAATGCCGCACTCCACTTTCCCGCCCGCTGACCCAGCGGAAATCCAGGCAGGCCCTGAGTGGTGCCCCCCCTTTCCTGCCAGTCTGCGATTCAACTGTTGCAGCCCTGACCACAGTTACCTACACAGCTACAGACTCCACCGCCTTTAGGACTTCCTCTCCTCTAGGCAAAACGGCTAGAGGCGTGGGAGCGGAAACGTCAACTGACCAATCACCCACTGCCTCTTGGAACTTTTCACCAATGAGGTAGAAGTATTGTGAGTGACGACAAGTCTGGCCAATGCAAAGAACTTGAGGGCCTGGGAGGAAAGAGGCCCGTCCCTCGCGGGGTTCATCTTCCAATAACACCTCCCGGTGTCCTGACAGGACAACCCCATGCGTTGGATGCGTTTGGGACTAATCCTAAAAGGGTAAAAGGATTTCCTATTTGCACTGCCAATCTACTGGGAAAAAAACCCCAAGGATTGAACTAACCCGCCAGCGTTCAGACCAACCAGGTGCGGCTATGTGGGAAGAGCCAAATTCATAATGATATTTAAGGAGATTTGTTGCGGTGGAGTTAAAAGTAGGAACCAGTTTGGGGCTCTGGTTCTGTGTAGAAATACCCAGACACCTACACCGAAATTATGTTTAAGGAACGTTTCCTATTCCGTCTGAAGCGGTATTTCCAGCCTTTCTGTAAAGAGATTTTTCAACAGGTGCGGAATGTACTAGCCACCTGCATGCACCTTTGTTAAGACGTCACAGAATCACGTCCTCACTTCTGAGATGATTTCCGTTTCCTAAATGGCAACTTGGTTAACTAAAAAGTTAAAACGCCTGTAATCATATTGTGAAATACTCAGACCAACTAACATCAATCAAATATAAAATATTTGCCGGGAATTATGTCAAGAACTATACCTACACGCCCATAACGCCGAGTTAGGAACTATTATTACTCCCGTTTACAATAGATAGTTAAGTAACCTAGCAGAGATTCAAACCTGGGTCTGATACCTTAATCTTTTTAACCAAATACATATAGGACTGTACTTACTGTTCTGATTACAGAGATTGTACACATGAGGGTAAACGTATGAGGTTTTCTACATATATTTTTCCGAGTATAAAAAATTATATAGTCATTTTCCAAAACACATGAGGAAAAAGGCACCCCCCTCCCCAGAGAGAGAAAAAGAAGTAAGAGGAGGAAGAGGAAAAGGGAATAATCACTCTTCCTACCAACCAAAGGCAATCACTGTTACCATTCTGGTTTATTTCTATTCAGTCATTTGGCTATGCAATTTCCACATAGTACAGATTACGAATACATACAGTTTCGTCTCACTTTTTCTACTTAACTGCTTTTATGTTTTGGGTTTTTTTTTTTTTCTTTTGGTCGTTTGTTTTTTTATTTCTTAAGACAAAGTGTCACTCTATTTTCCAGGCTACAGCGCCATGGCATCAGCGTAGCTCACAGCAACCTCAAACTCTTCCAAGCAGCTGTCTTGCCTCAGCCTCCTGAGTAGCTAGCTGAATGTACACGCACCAGATGCCTACTTAATTTTTTCTGTTTTTAGTAGAGACGAAGTCTTGCTCTCTCTGAGGCTCGTCTTCAATTCCTTAGGTCGAGGGATCCTCCTGTCTCCTCCTCTCAGAGTGCTAGGAATATAGTCGCCCTGCACCCAGCCTTTACTTAACATTTTTATTTGAGCACTTTCCACATTATTTAATATTTTTCTTAAACATTTTTGATGGCTACTGATGTTCCAATATATGGATATATCCTAATTTATTTAATAATGTTCACATAGTTCAACATTTAGGTTGTTTCTAAGTTTTTCATTTATAAGTAATGTTACATAATGCTTTTTCTTCCTGCATTCTTAGCTATGTTTTATGAAAGAATTTCTAGAGCTGGGCATGGTGGCTCACACCTATAATCCTAACGCTCTGGGAGGCCAAGGCAGGTGGATTGTTTGAGCTCATAAGTTCGAGACCAAGACCCTATTTCTACTAAAATAGCTGGTGTTGTGGCAGGTGCCGGTAGTCCCAGCTAACTCAGGAGGCTACAGCAAGAGAAGCCCAAAAGCAATCTACCCAGGGCAACAGAGTGAGACTCTGTCTCAAAAAAAAAAAGAAAGAAAGATAGAATTTCTAAGTTGGAACATCCAGGTCATGAATAAGCTTGAGGTTCTTGATACATAGTATGTTGTCCAATTGTTTTCTGAGTATACTCTATAAATTTACATTTTTATCAACCAAGTGAAAGCCACGTTTACTTCATTATTTAGTAAACTCTTTTTCTTTTGCAGTTTTTGACTGGGGCTGGGTTTCAACCCGCCACCTCCAGTATATGGGGCCGGTGCCCTACTCCTTTGAGCCATATGTGTCACTCAGTAAAGTCTATTTTTTTAAAGTGAGTTTTTGTGGAGCAATGGGAACTCTTATTCATTGATGGTGGGAAAGCAAAATGGAACAGCCACTTTGGAAGACAGATTGGCAGTCTCTTGCAAAATTAAACATACTTTTACCCAAAGGAGCTGAGTAACAGTTGGGCATAAGTAAAATATATCCACACAAAAACCTGCACACAGATGTTTATAGAAGCTTCTTCATAATTGCCAAAACTTGAAAGCAATCAAGATGCCTTTGAATGGGTGAATAGGTAAATAAACTGTGCTATATCCTGAAAGTGCAGTATTATTTAGGACTAAAAAGAAATAAACTGTCAAGCCATGAACAGGCATGGAGGAACATTAAATTCATACCATTATTACAAAACCAATCTGAAATGGCTACATACTATACGATTCCAACTATATGATATTCTGGAAAAGGCAAAATATAGATATATTAAAAACACCAGGAGCTGTCTCAGTGCCTATAGCTCAAGTGGCTAGGGCGCCAGCCACATACACTGGAGCTGGTGGGTTTGAATCCAGCCTGGGCCTGCCAAACAACTATGACAACTACAACCAAAAAATAGCCAGGCACCTGTAGTCCCAGCTACTTGGGAGCCTGAGGCAAAAGAATGGCTTAAGCCCAAGAGTTTGAGGTTGCTGTGAGCTGTGATGCCATGGCAGTCTACCAAGGGTGACAGCCTGAAACTCTGGCACCACCACCACCCCCAGGAAAACCAGGAGTTAGTGGAAAAAGAAGGGATGAATAGGTGGAGCCAGAGGATTTTTAGGGAAGTGAAACCATTCTGTATGACACTATCCCAGTTGGCACATGTCATTATACATTTGTCCAAACCCACAGAATGTATAAACACCAGCTGCAAACCCTAACCTAAACTATGGGTATGGGCTGATAACAGTGTTCAATGTAGGCTCATCAGTTATAACAAATGTACCGCATGTTGATAATGAAGGAGGCTATGTTATATGTGGGGGCAGGGAATTTATGAGATATCTTTATACCTTCCTCTCAGTTTTTTGTGAAACTAAAATTGCTCTTAAAAATGATTTTTTTTTAACAGGTAGGCTTTTGGTGGAGTTTGCTTTGGTAATCTGGTAACAGCAACAACAAAAAGCTCATGCTAATTTTCCTTTATTTGATTGCTTCTTATTTCTTCCTAATGTTTACTAGTATTTTTATTACATCTACTATACATGATATATTCATGTCCTACTGACTTCCAGTAAAGTGGTTTTGCCAACACTGTATGAAGGTCGTTTTTTTTTTTTTTTGGAAACATCATAATCTTTAAAAAAGGTGAAAGAGCAATGATAAGATTTTTCCTACCTACCATTGTACCTACAGGAGGAGTGGTGGAGCTGATAAGTAGAAGGATTTATCCACCTACCACTCACAACCTAAGAATATTTATTATTTTCCCAAGGTCTACATTCTGAAAAGAACAGCCTATGAAGAAAACAAAGTCCCTGCCAACATGGCATTCAATTGCTAAATTATATATACACAGATACATACATGTTTTATATAATTATACATATGTTGGCCAGGCGTGGTGACTCACGGCTATAATCCTAGCATCCCAGAAGGCTGAGGCAGGTAGATTGCTTGAGTTCAGGAGTTTGAGACCAGCCTGAACAAGAGTGAGACCCTGTCTCTACTAAAAATAGAAAATCTAGCTGGGCGTGGTGGGGCATGCCAGTAGTCCCAGCTACTTGGGAGGCTGAGGCAAAAGGCTTACTCAAGCCCAAGAGATTAAAGTTGTGTGAGCTATGATGCCACAGCACTCTACCCAGGGCAACAGAAAGTAAGACTCTGTCTCAAAAAAACAAACAAGAAAAGAATGGTATATTTCAGTAAAGAGTTGTGGTCCTTGAAAATGTCTACCAGGGAATTTTGGTTAATGGCTGGAAATATCTTAAAGATCTGCTATTTCTTTAGTTTAGTGGCACAATCTTTTTCAAACATGAGCATCTTCCTTTTCAGGTCATGAGTTTTCTGAACGGCAGGTTCTTCTGATGTTATTTGTCTTAGTGATACTTTTTTAGTTTGAGAATTCCAATAATCCAGTAAGGGTAGCATTTCAGGTCTTCAGTAAGGGTTGTGATTTTTTAAAAGAGATTGAGAGAAGCTGCTGTGCTAATTTTATAATGGAAAACTCAATTTATTTTAAAAAAGTTAAAACACTGATAACCAGTAGGTTGTTCAATTGAAATTATTCTGGTGGAAATTTAGCAATCACAGCTCGGCGCCTGTGGCTCAAGTGCCTAAGGCACCAGCCATATTCACCTAAGATGGCAGGTTCGAATCCAGTCTGGGCCTGCCAAACAACAATTTCGGCTGCAACCAAAAAATAGCCGGGTCTTGTGGTCCCAGCTACTTGGGAGGCTGAGGCAGGAGACTCGCTTGAGCCCAGGAGTTGGAGGTTGCTGTGAGCTATGATGCCATGACACTCTACCCAGAGGGACAGCTTGAGGCTCTGTCTCAAAAAAAAAAAGCAATTTATCAATCTCAAACTTTAGTGACTGAATAGATATAAATTGCTTTGGTGATATTGACATAATGGGTTTTTTATAACCTTAATAGAAAACACTTCTGGCCAGGCAAAGTGCCTCATGCCTGAAATCCTAGCACTCTGGGAGGCCAAGGCAGGAGCATTGTTTGAACTCAGGAAGTTCAGACCAACTTGAGCAAGAGTGAGACCCCATCTCTCTTCAAAATAGAAAATAATTAGCCAGGCATGATGAC